AAGTTTTGGCTTTGGAGATAGTTGGTGTAATTGGATTTGGGGTTGTATTAGAAGTTGCCACTACTCTATCTTGGTGAATGGAACTGTGGTGGATTTCTTCCCTGCCTYGAGAGGAATAAGACAAGGTGATCCAYTATCCCCTTTCCTATTCACTCTGATTGCTGATGTACTTGGGAGATTGATTCAGAGAGCAGATTCAAGGAATTTAATAAAAGGATGGAGAGTAGGAAGGGAGGAGATACCTCTTACTCATCTACAGTTCGCAGATGACACTATGCTTTTCTGTGAAGGTGGGGACATTGAGTGGAATCGGAACCTAAAGTTGGCAATACAACTCTTTGAGCGGGTATCCAATCTCAAGGTGAATTTGGATAAAAGTAGTTTGGGGGGTGTGAATTTGGAGGAGAGGGAGCTTAGAGAGTATGCGGATGTCTTAGGGTGTGCAACCTCGGATTGGCCGATGGCTTACTTAGGCCTCCCCCTGGGGGATAACCCTAAGAAGGTAAGCTTTTGGAACCCGGTGGTGGAGAGATTTGGGAAAAGGCTTGCCTCTTGGAGGAAAAATTATCTTTCCTTGGGGGGGAGAATCACTTCGATTAGATCAACCCTAGCTAATCTTCCTGTGTACTTCCTATTTGTGTTTAAGATCCCCACAAAGGTCTCTAACACTTTGGAAAAACTTATGAGGGATTGCTTGTGGGAGCTTGGAGAGGAGAAGTGGGACCATAGGGTGAGTTGGGAGGTGGTAACTAGAGGTAAAAATCTAGGAGGTCTTGGTCTTGGGAATCTTAGGAAGAGGAACATGGCATTGTTAGGGAAATGGCTATGGAGGTTTCCATTGGAAAGAGACAAGTTGTGGACAAAGATTGTGGCTAGTATACATGGGTTGGAAGACAATGGTTGGGAACCTGGAATCTTGGCAAGGACTACAGCCGCTTCTCCTTGGTCAGCCATACACAAACTGCTTCCAATTTTCTCCCCTTGTATCAGGTATGGTCTTAACTCCGGTAATAAAATAAAAATTTGGGA